ATATAATATTTAAAAGTTTTAGTCTTAAGGTCAAAGCCGATTTTTTATTATTTTTTTACTGTAAAACTTTTGTAAAGTTTTTCCATGTTCTCAATATTTGTAGCTACGTAACAAGGTAATTTATTTTACTTATGAATTAATGAAATTATTTCTTATCTAGAATGTTGCATTACCATATAATGAATATTTATTTTTCGTCTACAAATTTAATTTATAAGTTCAGTAAAATAGCTTTATGTGAAATGTAGGTGATATTTATATAATTACTGTAAGAATACAACTATATTAATTTTTTTAGTACAAAAGACATATTAATGTTTCAAAAATGTAAAATATTTATATAGAATAAAATAAATTTGTAACCACTTGTAACTATATAAAAATTAATGAACCTAAAATATCGTTATTGTGAATTTACATTGCTTTTACGTAAGAGAAAAGGTCATTGCCACTATATCCAATTACTTAGGAGACATCGTTTTGTTCTGAGTTAGAAAAATATATTACAAGAGTAAATCTAGGATTCTGTGTGAAAATAATCTAGTAGAAACTAGGCAACTAAATATTATATAATACATAACATAATGTTCTGAGTATCAGTTTATCTCATGCATCCATCTTTCCATAAGCTTAAGAGACAGGATACCGGTATCAATAAATTTAGTTCGACTTTTATCCCAACATTTAGTTGACTTATCGGGTTAACCAACAGTTGACGCTTTCCTTCCTCAACGTAGCATTAGATAAACAATGAGGTGATTAGTAATGTTTACTCTACTGCTAACGAAATGAAGATATAGTTTTCGGGTGAATAGGCGCAATGTGTATAAGCCGCGTGATAATTTTAGATGAGGTGTCATCAGATTTATCTATTATTATAAAAGTGGTATTAAAGATTAAACAACAATTCTATAAAATAAATACGACGATTGTAAATAGTTGATTCTTATAAAAAACGACAGTTCTTATTTTATTTTACATGGTCACGGTCAGTTCTTTTTTGAAATTTTTGTAAAGTCAATTATATTCTGTAGTAGTTAAAAATTCTAGTCACTTTATTATGCATAAAGATTATGTAAGTTATGAAAACATTTGCGAACTTCTATCACATTAATTTATTGTGAACATTATAATGTTATATAACCGGAGGAGATAGTCATCATGTGGTACTACTGAATTATAATTCTTGTGTTATTAGGTACTGCAATACATGTCGTTATAAAAATTATAATATAACTAGGATGTTGTTAAAGATACCCAAGTAAACAAAACCATTTTATCATATCAGCCGTTAACTGTCCACTGCTGAACATAGGCCTCTCCCATAAGGATAATTATGCCAGTAGTTGCCATTCTTGGTAAATGAAATGTTAATTGTTGTTAAGCTTTTGGTGATGTTTTAAGAGGGATGCTGCTCCAATGTCTCGATCATTAAGTTCCCTTAGTCTTCTTTTACAACACTTATGGGAAAGATATACAACAGTGAAATAGTAGGAACTTCAGATATAATCCTTCACTATGTCAAGGCAAGTAACAGCCCTATTCTTACGTACGGAAAGTAATCCATGTCAACTAATTTTACAACTATATCATTATATTTTTTATAATTTCATCTAATTGTAATATTATTATGACAGTCGTGAACTATCCACTACTGAACATGGGCCTTTCTCATAAGGGGAGTTTTGCCAGTACTCACCACTCTTGGTAGCCAGGTTGGCAGCTGCAGTTAGTCTTCGGTGATGTTTTAATTATATCGGCCATTATGATCCTTTAGTCGGCTCTTACTTACACCCACGGGAAAGGAAGGGGTGACCTATTCTATACCGGAAGTACACAGTAAATTGTGATGTAATGTTTTTAATACGATAAATAAAAGTATTATAGAATTCATTTCATGAATAGTTTTGTATGTATAAAATAAAAACTATATTACATTAATATAGTATAATAATATTGTGATTTGTTCTAATTAAAATAATTAAATTAGCTTCTTATTATAATACATATATTTACATATTTATTTATATGTAAATTTAAAGAGCTTTTATACGTGATTTTGTGACCGTGATAAAATCGCTACCGGGAAGAAGTAGCCTATATCCTGCATTTTATATAATACATATATGCGCTAAGAGATAGCAAACAAAAAAGTCACTCTTGCGTTAATAATATTAGCAAGAATTCATGTTCGATATTAGTCATATCGAATATACAAGCTACAAGGATAAAAGAGCGATTCTTTCGAAACAATGTAAGGAGCACAATGTGAATGGGCTTTCTAGTATCGAATTTCGAAGCCGATACTTTATCAAAATGAGGTCATTACTGTTGGATCACTCGACTTTGCTGATTTTTATATAGAATATAAAGTTTTTGAGTTCCTATGATATTTATAATATTATAATTGTTTATTAGACGCATAGGTCTATATAAATTATGATTAAAAGTAATCTTTGTGGATTTAGGTCACTAACCATCGAATTTACTGTTTCTTTGCGAAGTATAATTTTATAATTTATAAATTAAAATTAAATTGATATTGGTTATAGTTTATATCCTATTAGTAATTCTAATAATAAAATAAACTTTATCATTTTGTGACTACCTATGATCTTTGTCATCTAGGCCAGGATATATCAATATAAAAAATAAAAAGTAAGTCATGTCCTTTGCTATCAACATATTTTACAACAGATGACAAACAATTTCACATTTATAATATTAAGTAGATACGGTTAACTTATAACTATGCTCAAGCTAATCCATTTGTTTACCACAATATTAGTTATGTCAATGACCCAAAGGCGAATGCCAGAAGTACTTCCACCCCTGTTTACGCAATCTTTTATTAACTGTGAATAAATAGTACTTTTTTATATAATTTATAGATGAATGACGACCACGCTTGTGTAGCAGTTTATCACACTGCCACACAATATTTAAATTTACAAATGTGTTCATAGTAAAAGCTCTGGTTAGTTTAGAATTTGATGTAATATATTTAGCAGTAATAATTAGTTTATTTATTAGTATAAAGAGTTTAAAGGCGATGGCCTAGTTTACTTTTTAATCTAACTTTATCGTCGTAATATCGAATCTGCAGTCATCAAAAACAATAAAATCTATTATGCGATTAAGTAACAAATATCGAAATATATAAATATTATTATGTAAACAAATATATTTAAAAACTAACAAATATTACCTTTATAATATTAATAATAGAATCGTAAATAGATCATTGTGAATGTGCATTTAGTAGTTTAAGAGAACTGTATATACCTTTTTAGTTGAAATTGTTTGGACAATTGATTTGATTGAGACAGTTACACGACCCGTATTTTGTTTACCTAGTGATGAACTGGTGGTTTTGACAGACAAAATAAATTTATCCATTGTATTCCTTTTGAAAACCATGACAGGTCTATTACGATATCCCACAAAGTGAAATAATGTCTCGTAATGGCTACGCAAATTACAGAATCCTTACAAATATTAATGTGAAAGGAAATTTTTTGTTACCTCTTGGCGTCATATTTGCACAGCATCGTTATGACATGGTATAAATTTATATAGCACGTAGTGTAATAACTCTCTCTCTCTCTCTCCCTTTTTTCTTTTAGCCTCTACCCAAAGTATTTAAAAAATTGCTTTAGCAATAAGACAACATTTTGTACTTTGTATAGTATGTAAGAATAATAAAGCAATTGTTAGTAATGCGGAATACCAGTCCCATTGCTAGCAATACTTGTATACTCTGTCAGGTCAACTTCCATGTGTCTTCCTTAGAAACCATCGTGCTGAATTCCAGGTGTATTCATTACGATGGACTAACTGACCTGCCTTTTCTTTTTCACTAATTATCACTTACTGGTGCCCTGTCAGCGTATACTGTTAACGCAGCTTATTAAATTAGCAAAATCTGTTTAAATAAAAAAAAATAGCAAGACGAGAAATATCAGAAATTAAGTAGGTGTATCAATGCAAAATATATAAAGGAAAAGAATTGCAGAACATCCAATAGAAACAAACAAAATAGGGATAAAACTAAAAGTGTTTAAAAATCCACTCGTTGATAACTCTTTGTTCTCAATTTGAATTTCATATAAAATTAACTCTGTATGTTTTATGCAGTGACTGGCACTAAAACTAACCGAGTTAAAAGAATAAAAGATTACTATGTTCAAAGTTGTATATATATGTATATCCTTACATTTACCAACTCGTGATGGCAAATCCATAATTGCAAGTAATTAATATTCTCAATACTAAATACTTGTATTTAGTGATGATGAACTAGGTTAGTGTAGTTATTATTTTATTTAATTACATATATATAATTATAATACATGATTATATCAATGTTATTATAACAGCTCATAACAATTTCTATTCAGTACAGTTTATTAAATTGCTCTCGTCAAAGTTCTGTTCTGTTCTGTTGATCCCTAAAGCGTAATTAAAAAGCAACAGAAATATTGAAGGAAAATGCTAGATGTGCTCTACCTGAGAACGTTAACTCTTTACAAAAGAGTAGTGAGACTGGACAGGTAATGTTAATAATAAACGCAATATGTTATTATTGAAGTAAGAGTATATTATGTCCATTTGTTTCTATTAAGATGAGTATAATATGTATACAAACTGAAATTAAAATTATTAGTGTATAATATTTAGAGAAGAGTATTCTACTAATTTAAATATTTTTAGAATATTTCTTTGGGAAGAATGTTTAGTTTCTCTAAATAAAAGTGATATATTGTACCATAATGTTTTTGATTTCATTACATGTAGGTATATTTCTCATATGATACTCGTAGATCTATATACTACGATCTAAATATAATTGAACATTTCTTCAAGTCTCAATAAAGGCAATATGTTCAGCACAATATATGGGACACGGAGATGGATAGCGTTGATACAGCAGCATTCCGTTCAGACCCGAGGACCAAGTCGTAAAAAGGGAACTAACGTGACATTTATGTGTATTCCAGCTGCGCAAGCCGGTGTCGACCCTGTCGATTCCCGGCGCGATGAAGGCGTACTCCGGGGGTGGGAGGGACGCTGCTACCGAGGAAGCGGGCGTCGCGCTCGTTGGAGTGCACAGCGAGTACCCACGCTTTGGAGAAGAGAGGGCGCTCGGCGGTGGCACGTACAAAGGTGGAGGGGCAGCTAAGCACAAACCTAATATAGGATATAGGTAAGTACCTATAAGAAGTATTTATCGCATATACGTGGAATGCGTATTATAAGTCACATATGTGTCTGGAAAGAAAAGTCTCTATCATTAATATAATTTACGGTGTAACGAAATGAATATAACAAAATTTAGTAATAGTATTCATGAAGCTGAATAACTTTCCCTGAGAAATATAGGCTGAAATATGTAAATAACTTTTGAATTTATTTATCAACTTAAGTGGTGATGTAACTACGCACTGTGTACAGAAAGTGTACTTTCTTTTTTAATTTATCCTTCATAGTATATATATAAATATAATAGACAAAACTTAGTAATTAAGGTTATGTTAAAACGAAACAAAATGTTACAACAATTACAGTATGTTTTTTTTATAATGTTAAATCTATTGGTTGTAGGTAGAATAAAACCAATCAAAGTATTAGTATTAAATTATTCTATCTTTAGAATATTTGCAATTTACTTTAAGAGAATCTAAAAAATTTAAATTTTACGTTTATGTATATTCACAGCTCACACTAAATATTAACTAAATGCAATTGTGTTCAAAATAAACCTCGGAAAACATATCGCAACAACAAAAGTTTGCACAATTCATGCCACGTTCCTAACATAAAGGCGGACTTTTCGCTCTAAAAGCATCATTTTCTGGTTGCAAACAATCACAATGGGACGTGGCTATTTTATATGAAGCGCAAATTGGTTCAAACATCCATAAGCCGATTATAGTTTTATGTTTAATCTCTTCTGCCAAAAAGTACATAACGTATGTACAACTAATTAATTTTATGTATGACTATGAGAGTCGTATTAGCTACCCAAATGTCATTTTCAGAATAAATATTTTATTTCCTAAACTTAAAAAAAAACAATGTTGTCTTTACTATGCAAAGTAAGTACAATATATTGAATAAAAAAATATCTAACTGCTATAAAAAATAGAATCAAATATTAAATTGAGAAGTTTCAAGGTAAACAACGTACGTAGTGTGTTAGTAGTGTGTAACAAAAATATACTGAAGTCCTTATCAGTATTAATTTATAAAATTGTCCTTATAATTTTTGTACATTAATATCTTAATTTAAACTTCGAGATTACGATTATTATTTGAATAATATCAATTCTAAATTTCATATCGAAAAATAATGGGCATATTTTTATAACTTTATTGAAAAATTGTTTAAGTACTTATTAATAGAATAACCTACGTATTTATTTGAATGATTAGAAAGAAATAAAGAACATCTATTTTTCAACAAGGGACACTGAAATAAGTTTTATAAAATAAACATAATTTGAACAAAAGGTGGATGTTTCGGTTTAATACTTTATTGTACACATTAGTTATAAAAATATGACAGAGGTAAACAAAAGTACAAAGGCGAGCTTAACTCTGATAGAGTTTTCTTCCAGCAAACCCAAAGTGGAAAGGAGCATCAATGTCAGCGGATACAGCAGTGTACAATTTTTAAATAGCCAAAATTAAATTAATTAGATTATATTATATAGTACAAATACACACATACATATACATAAATATATACCTACATCTATGCATAAACCTACATATACATACACATATACACACAATATACCTACACATATAGATAAATAAATATATGTTCATAGAGATAGAAGATGCTCTTTAAGTCTACTCTTAAAAATATTTAGGGATTGACTCTCACGGATAGATATGGGAAGAGAATTCCACAATCTAGCAGCATGGACGGTAAAAGATCCACTATAGCGCGTAGATGAGTGTGAAGGGAGTTTGAGGATAAGAGATTTCGTCGAACGGGAGGACACGTCATGGGGAACTAGAAAATCAAAACGTTCACGAAGATAGGAGGGAAAAGTAGGGTTATATAGAACGGAATATAAAAACGACATTATATGAAAGTCTCGACGCCTTCGAATTGGCAGCCAATTCAATTTTGTTCTATAAGCGGAGACATGATCATATTTACGCAGACCATATATGAAACGTATACACAAATTCTGTAATCTCTCTAATTTGTTTAAAAGCTCTTCAGTTGCATCAAGGTAGGATATGTCGGCATAATCAAGAAGAGATAACAGTAGAGCTTGTGCCAAAGTAAGCCTTGTCTTAAATGGTAAGAATTTTTGCAATCGTTTAAAAGAATGAAATGAAAAACATAGCTTTTAAATAAAATGAAAAACATAGGTTTACTTTTATATATTTAATTATGAAATATTAGCTTTTACGTGATATTTCATACACGTGACCGCAATAATTTTGTTACCAGGATAGAAAAATTGTCTATATCCTTCTCCTTCTCCTATAGTACGTGTATACAAAGATGTGTTATAAAAAATAGACAACAAAGCAAGAAACAAACTCATGTTTATATGTATAATATTCGTAAAGATTTTAGTATTTAAAATAAGAACACATCGTAATTTATTGCGATATAGTTAATTGTTTTTATTGATAGTCCAACCGCCGCTTTCATTACCCCCGTGGGTTATATAAAACTAATATACTATGTAATAAAGCTGAGACCAATCCTTAGCCAAAAGTCGATGAGTGTATTCCTTCGAGATCAGAATTCATAAATGCCATCTCATCCAACACAATTTTCCTATTATATTAGAGATTATGTATATTATTAGAATCGTCTAGACATCAATATATGAGATTGTGTACTTATAGCTGTTTTAATTATAGTAAAGGCTGGGCATAATATCTTATTTAAAAAATAAACTGAATCGTCTTACAAACTCTTATTTATTTGTGTATTTTGTTATTTCTCCAATAATGTCTGCATTGTTAGTTAACTTCCAAAAACAATTTAAAAAATTTTTGAATAAATTATATATTTAAGATCTCATGTAGCGGTGAATCGATTTTTTTTGATGTAATTGTATTCCAATAATTTTATTCGTTTTATAATCAGAATTCATAAATGCCATCTCATCCAACACAATTTTCCTATTATATTACTTAGAGATTATGTATATTATTAGAATCGTCTAGACATCAATATATGAGATTGTGTACTTATAGCTGTTTTAATTATAGTAAAGGCTGGGCATAATATCTTATTTCAAAAATTAACTAAATCGTCTTACAAACTCTATTTGTGTTTCTCCAATAATATCTGCATTGTCAGTTAACTTCCAAAAACAATTTCAAATATTTTTGAATAAATTATATATTTAAGATCTCATATAGCGGTGAATCTGCCATATTTTTTTTGTATTAATGTAATTGTTATAATTATTATTTTATAAAAATTTTCAATAATCAATAATTTTATTAACAGTTTTATAATAAAGCAAATGAAAATAATAGTCAATAAATTACACATTTACATTAATTTTAGGGTCTACTATATAATACTATATAAGGTTATACGCTTGCTGATTTACGGTTTTCTAAAATTATTCAAAACTGATAAGATTTAATATTTAAATTACCGTCTATTTATACTTAGTGTACAATCATTTTAAACAGCATGGCATAAGTTTTTTAGCTATTTAAATTAACTGTTGAATATCCAAGTGTTGCTTGCAATCATTCAACAGCTTGCAAAGACGTGGTACAGTGGAGTTGGCACCAGGAACAGTCCTACGGAACGGCACGGACATTAGACTAAATCTATAATCTATGGCTGAGAACCAATAAACAACTATATAAGATAACGTAACCGCAATTAAATAACTACAAATGGTGAAAAAGCCAAATAAATGATAAATAGGTTTTCATATTGTGACTATAATTTAGACACTAGAACTAAAGCTCTTGATCGCAAACTATATAAAACATAGATACTTCACTTGACAAGCGCTAAAACCCGAAACAACATCAGTTCGAGCCTTGAAGTTTCACCATAGATGTGATAATCAAAGCAATTTTAGCAGAAAACAGAAATATTAGTATGACATATTTGTTCATTTTCTTGACATCGACTGGTTACGTACGATTCAGCCTATATAAAACATAAACCATATTAGGTTTTGCAGCAGAATATTATTGAATCCCGTCATATACATTATAAAATGTATATGACTGGCAATGTAAAAGAGAAGAAACATAATAACTTATACGCTAGAGCGAGATAGATAAGTATCACATTTATACATAATATGAGCTCGAAGCTGACATCGCTCGAAGCATATATTTATATATATATTTATATTACTTAATTATAATTAGCAAAAATTTTTGCAATCTCTCAAATCAATCAAATCTCTCAAGTATTTTTCTAACTTCATTACCATATAAATTCAGCTCTGTCACCTTGCACACATTTACATTATATGCACACAAGTGCAATTATTTTCTAGTCTTTTTGTGATTGTATTGCCTGTCTGTCAGTATGTGAGAATACTATTATGAGAATACTATATATACTGCTGAATGTAGGCCTCTCCCAAAGCACGCCATTGAGTATAATCTCTTTGCTGTCAGTTATTACCCGCAACCCTACGCAAGTCGTCGCTCCACCTAATCTAACCTAACCACCAGTCGTCTAACACTACGCTTGCTGATTTACGGTTTTCATTGACGTGTTTGCTCTAACGGTTATTAGTTCTACGACAGATGTGACTAGTCTATTTCTACGTCAATTTGCAAATTCATTGAGCTATGTTGGTAAATTTGATTATTTGGTCAATTATTACATTTCGGGTTAGATCCCTCAAAGAAACTTTAAGCATAGCTCTTTCTAACGCTCGCTGAGCGACTTTTAATTAGTGACCTACTCTGATAGCTCGTCAGTGCCCACATTTTGGCATTGTATCACAGGTAGGATGCATTGATTATAAACTTTTGTTTTTAGACTATAGTAGAGACAATGAGAAGACCTGACGGTGTTTTCGAAAGTCTACCCAATATATTTACATAATTGCTATACAGCAAAATATTAATGTCTACTCCATCACAAAATGTAATTTAGTCAATTCTTACTACAAAAGAATAAAATGTTCATGTTCATGTAATATCACAAACAAGCCCGAAAGGTTTTAGTGGTACTAAAATTTCTTGTTTTTTATATATATTTGCATGATGATTAAATAAATAAATAAATATTTATGCCTATTACAATAACGTTATTTTTAATATTAGAAGTGTAGCAAGTGCAATTTAATCACGATAAAACGCAAATTAAAAAAAATTTTAATACCAAATTCTTTACAAATACGATTCTATATACGAGTACAATTATTACATTCTGAAATAAATATGTAACTTTGTATTGCATTGTAATATTTTTTGTTTATAAAAAAAAATATGTAAATTTAATAAACAAATAATACTTCAAGTTTATAGACAAACAAACATGTTATGCTAACCCCATATAATGAGACAAAGCATAAAAGATTTAAATGATAATATGTTAGTTTAATAGCTACGTGGGCATATAATTCGTATTCGATAAATCAATAGTTCAAAATAAACTTCTTAATAAAAATGTTTACTAAGGAATTCTTCCTGATATCATTAGATACTTGTAGGTAATATCAGAAATGTCAGTATAAATGAGGCTAGAATTTCTAAACAATGCATGTGGAATTTGTTTTTGTGAAAGAAGAATTGCAAAGGCTTATAGCATTTACCAGAAATATGGTATATAAAGAATGCGTAATTTATAAATTTTAAGGGGAATTAATAAACTTGTTTTAATAATCTGATAAATTTTTAAGCAACTCCCAAACGTTAAGATTCTCCGTTTTTATTTGTAGCTGATCTTGTCGTAATATAGTATTATTTTGTATCGAATGAAGCTGTTTTGTTTATGTAGCAAAAATGGAATAAAAATTGCTTATTGCGAAGAAAAATTTAATTGCAAATTTAAAACTACAACTATGCAAAACTGCGTTGTGAAATCAAATATTTTCTATTTATTATATTTTATTAAATATTCTCGTCATATGCCTTCATAATCTCATTTGATATTTTTTCACAAACAAATGTACTCATTATTATTCTATTTTATTGATGATTTATTGGTTCAATCAATTCCACTGTCTTAAAAATTTCATCCATCTACGACTAAAACCAAGCTTTGAAACCTTTTAATAATGACTGGCTGTTTTAATACAGCCTTGGACGAACGTAAATAACTTGCAACAGGGTCGCATCGATTTTGTTCGTTTTTAGAATGATACGTATAGTTAAGTGCATTTCACTTCAATATCAGTTTAAATATTTTTTATATTCAGTGTGGAATTCACTTTCTGCTTTGATTTAGTAAAGAAAAAAAAACACTAGGCTTGAATTGAGTTTAATTTTCATCACAAGATTGTATTGTAATAATACGGGTATTTTTTTTTTCAATGGATAAAAACATCCAAAAAATATAATTTATGCCAGGTCGAATTCCAATAAGGAAATTATTAATAATTTCCTTATTAACTCGGCCCATTTCATTAATAATCTTCATGCGTCTGGAACTGACACTGCATGTTTCCATCTTTTGTGACTGAATTAATTAATAGCCTTATTACAAGTAATAACGTGAAACTACACGAGAGTTATCTATCTAAGGAATGCATTTTTCCACGGTCTTGTTATCTTAATTATTATTTGTTTAATGATTAATAAAATTTGTAAAAATCATTAATATTTCATGATGTTCTTCTGTTTGTTTTCAGACTAGGTAGAAGAAAGGCGTTATTTGAAAAAAGAAAACGAATAAGTGACTACGCCTTAGTAATGGGAATGTTTGGTATAATAATAATGGTTATAGAAAACGAACTTTCAAGTGCTGGTGTTTATACTAAGGTAAAAAAAGACTGTCCAAATACTGCATATACAAAATTGTAAACGTAATTGTAAAATATTTGTTTGTTATTTTTAACCTAGTACAAAAGAAGGAGTGGATGAGAATCGAATTAATTCGAATTAAGAAATTGGTTTTTTTGATATTAATTAACTCAGAACTCTCCGTCTTTTATTATTTTTTTCCTTGAAAGGATATGCTTTTGTATTGGTCCTATAGATATTTCATCAAAATCGATTCAGTAGTTTGGTTTTTAAATCAAAGTAACTGATTTTGCCATGTAATTTATTCTATTAAGAATAAAAATAATGTTTATTCAAATAAATTTATTATAAGCATTTTTAACAATAAAATTTCTATAATTTTACCGCATTTGTAATATTTTTTTTTTATGTTTTAGGCATCCATATATTCGCAAGCGTTAAAGACGCTTATATCAATGTCGACTGTGATTTTACTTGGCCTAATCGTCGCTTATCACGCTTTAGAAGTACAGGTAAATAAAGTTTTAATATCACTGTAGTATATATTCTATTAATAAAATAAACGAAAAAGTTTCTAACGATCACTGGGTAGATAGATGGATTTTTCTTACTCTTTCACGCAAAAACTACTAAACGGATTTGAATGAAATTTGGTATACGGGTAGGTTATATTCTGACTTAACACGTGAATTACTATATTTATTTATGCTGTCGAAAGGAAAAGTATTAATAATGAATGAATATAATCTATTAAATCAGGGAGTTAGGTGTGTATACGCTGGAGTTTATGACCAGATGCCTAAAGCTATTATATCGAAAGACGGATGTTTTGACTTCTAATTTTTGTAAAGGATATGATCATCTCGTTATGAGTTGAATTTTGCATGTCTGTATCTTATTGATACTGTACCATTCAATTTTCTTAGTCAAATATTTTTTTTATTATTTCTTGGATAAAACGAGTACAAAAAGTATCTTTTACATCGCGTGATTAACCTGCCTACATTCGAAGTAATTAATACTATATTTTTTTATTTCATGAAAGTAGTAAATTTGCATAGACTTACACAAGACGGAATATAAAATATTTTATGTTAAAAATATTGAAATCAGCATTGATTAAAATTCAATTAAAATAAAATAATTTCCTTTTTTATACCATGAAAGTGGCAAACTAGCATACAGTCCGGCTGATAGTAAACGATCATTGTAACATATAGACGCCTGTAACACTTGAGACACGTGTGCGTTGCCGGCCCTGAAGAAACTTTAATACACTCTTTGAAGAGTCCCATACTGTAGTCTGGGAAGAATCTCGACAGGGAGCTCATTCCACAACTTGTGCGTTCGTGGTAGAAAACTCACCTTAAACCTTTACGCGACAATTAATGTTTTAGCGTATGAGAATAAATTCCGTGTAAAAATACCCGTAATTAATAAAGAATGCATGTAAACATAAATATATTTTTTTAATTCCAGTTATTTATGATAGACAACTGCGCCGATGACTGGAGGATAGCAATGACATGGCAGCGGATAGCACAAATTGCTTTAGAACTCGCTATCTGTGCTGTCCACCCTATCCCTGGGCAGTATACCTTCACTTGGACCACAAAATTAGCCAACAAGGGTGGTGTTATAGGCGTAGAAGTTGTAAGTAAATTTTCAATACATTCAAACATAATTCGTGTTAATATGGATAATGTTGGGAGATACCGTTGCTTGTATAATTATAAGCTTTATATTATTTATAGTAGAATTCTTATTTAAGATATAAAAATTAACAACATTGGTAGTATTTTGATTTAACATACTAGTCTAAATCAAGATGTTTGCGGGTTCGAATCTCGCATTATATAAAAATTGTTATTTTGCATTCATATATATATTTATTTAGTGTCGATATGGGCATTTTCTGTTATTCATTGTAGGTACATATTTCTCAGAAATGCATTTAAATAAACATCTAGTTTATTAAGAGCTTTTATTATAGAAAAAGCTCTTTAGTTTGAGGCGAGATAATGCAGTACAAAATATCTGTTTTAATAATATTGTTGTAAATTATGTAGTAATATTTATAACGTTATATTTTTTTATTATAATTATAACATAAATAACTATTCAAGATAAAATAGCTTTTTAGATTAATATTTGAATTAATTTACACTGTTACAGTTTTATAGATACTTATAAAATAATAAAATATCAATTTCATAAGTACCTGTTTTCAAAGTTGATTATTAATTATAAATAATTAAAAATATAATTAAGGAAATCTTTAAAATATCGATCGCCAATTTAGTTAAATTACGTAGGCACTATTAAAATCGGTTCAATTCTACTTCTGCTTTTAATAGTCTCAATATTTTTTTTTTAATTATTTTACGTCGCGTCGTCTGTATTCTATTATAATATAATGAATGCGAAAGTTTGTAATGATGGATGGATGGATGTTTGTTACTCTTTCACGTGTAAACTACTGGACAGATTTGAATGAAATTTTGTACATGGGAAGGATATATCCTAATTTATCGGATAGAATACTTTATGTACTGGTTCATACAAACAGATCCACAGGATATAAAATAATTTGTTGAATTTTATCATTTTCATTTAATCTAATATCTTCATAATTAAAATTATATACTGTACATAATGTTTAGACAGTTATCTATGCACGAATATCGCTATCTTATTATCGTTTGCATCTCTTATATGCGTATGAAAATGTATTGGCATTATATTTCTTAATTTGCGAACTGATATTTATTTTTAAATTTTCTCCTTAGGCCACAATGTATAAGCAAATTCAGGTCTGTATTGAATAAGTTCAAGTGTTATAAGTTTTAAGTGATGTTAGAGTCCTTGTCTTGAGCATGCAATTGGAAGTGTGTTGAAATTAAATGTGTCTTGAATCTGTGTCGTATATGTATGTTCTATGTGGGTGATACATATTTTTAAAAGTAAATATATAAGAAATAAATGTAGTATTTCTCATACATCGCTAGCACAGACTCAGATAACGGCAGATGATGCAAGTAACTTATTGTATATGAAAATAAAGCTATTACTGAACAAAGTTTATACAAAAACAAAAATAATAAAAAACCAAGCATTTTTTAAAGATTACGTGTAATGTTGTTTTTGTCATTCTATCAATCTTATAAACGAGCTCTTTATCGAATTTCAGTTAGAATTTAAGTAAATTTTTTGAGTTCGCCTGAAATAAAATTGGTATGCAAAGCATCAGTAGCGACATTTGTTCTAAGGCTAACGCCCAGAGTATAAATTAAATGTAATGTTTATGAAAATAAAAAAATAACAGAATACTTAATCAATAATTTCTAAGTAACATAAATATAAAATAATCAAATATAATGTAATCACCAAGAACATAATTTAGCTACCACCTATGTGTTCATTTCCAAATATGACGTGCTAGTGAAAACGTTAAACTCTATTACACTTAACACATCACGTAGAGAAAACTACATTTCGAGTGACTGTAAACTGGAATGAAACAGTCGTTAATGCAGAGCACGTGTTACGCCAATCCTGGGAATAAGATTAGTGTAAGCACATGTGTGTTATTTATTTTTAAATTCGATTTTTAAATTGTACATGTCCTGTTGATCGTATGCGTTGACATGCGCCTGTTATATGTGATTAATGCTGAATCACAAAACATCATGCATAATTTTATGTTGAATATATTAAAAATGCAATTGTTAATCAATTTTATGCTATTATTGATTCTGTTAATAATTCTTCAATTATGCCACCAGATTTATAAAAAGAATAACATATATAACATAAAAACAAAATAAGTGGTGGTACAAGTATATCTATATGTCAGGTATATTATTATTATATTGACCTAATTAAAATATAGAAGAAACTATATTTTGAAAAATTTTCACGTTACGTATTATTTAAAAAATTTTAAAATTTTTGTATTAGTGTCTTGCTACTTCCAAATATTTAATATAAATTCAATGAAAATTTTTAAATAACTGATAATAGTACCTTCATTATTAATTGATTCCATTAATTGATAGAATGTTTGGAATTTTTATATATATTCTTTATTATACTCATACAAACAGCAATAATTACTATTAGAAATAATGTGAGCAAAATGAACTAATCTGTAATAGAGATCTTCTGGTCAACCCAAATGCTACTAGGCATAGGAAGCTGAGAAAAAAATTTAATCTAATTTGAACAAAATATATCACAATACAAAGTATTTTGCTGGCATCACTTGGAAGTAATAGATGACATCAAAATTTATAATATGATTAGTTTATTATTTGTGTGCCTTAAGGTCTCTTCATTGCACTCATTGGAAATTTGTTTTAAACACAACTAGTTGTGCAAGTATAATTGTTACATTTTATTAAACTAACCTTATTTTTCTAATTTCAGGTTCCCTACGATGTTACGCTATCTTTGCCGATGTTCTTTCGGCTTTATCTCATATGCAGGGTTATGCTACTCCACAGTAAACTGTTCACAGATGCTTCTTCGAGAAGTATAGGAGCTTTAAACAGAATTAATTTTAATACTAGGTAATGTATTTACTTTAAACAGTATATGACTTTAAATGGCAAAGCAAGCCGCTTTGTGGCCTTAATGTAATGCCATCAAAATATTATAATCATCAAATAATATATTATTTATTTATTTATTTTATTATTATTATATTATCAATTAATATTATTTTATCAATTTTTATTTCATATATATTAAATTTTTTTATTAGATCTTATTATACTGGTTATATAATATTTATTTTTAGTATATATATATATATATATATATATATATATATATATATATATATATATATATATATATATATATATATATATATATATTAAGTAATCTTTCAGTTATTTTTTTTTAGTAAAAAAGAATAGTAATAATTCAAAAGGTTATTTTATAGAACTGTATAGTTTTTAAAGTAGAGTGGTGCAATCAATAAATGAACAAATAAAAGACTGTCACATAGTCACTTTTAATTATTAGGTCCTTACATATGAAATTGGCGTTTTATACGGGAGGAATATAAAGTAAATATTTTTTTGTAAAATATATTTAAATAACAAAAGCATGCACCATTGTTATCTATGTACTTTTGCCATTTCATAGGTAGTTCATTGATCTCTTTACTAAAAAAACCATGGGGGGCGAGAATCAATAAACTCTTTGAAGGCGGTTTGGACTGCCACATCCGAGTTGAATTTTTTCCTTGTAAAAAGTTGTCCAAATTCCGAATAAAATAGTAACCTGTTGGAGCAAGGTCCGGGGAGTACGGTGGTTGTCGCAGACATTCCAATTGTAGATCATCTAACTTTGTGGTTGTTTGTTGTGCAGTGTATGGTCTTGTGTTGTCATGAAGCGACAGTGACCTAGTGCGATTGACAAATCTCGGTTGTTAAGCAGCTTGTTCTTCCTTATGGTTTGCAATTGCTGACAATAAATATCTGCCCTAATCATTTGGCCAGATTTTAGAAAGCTGTAATTCTTCATTTTTCACTTTGGTCTGCGGGTGTCCACGGGGTTGGTTCTGAAGGTCGAAATTTCCAGAACGAAAACGTTGAAAAGAAAAACGTACCGTGTTTTCTTTTGCGATACCAGCGCCGTTAATATCATTAATCCTTCGAGCTGTTTCTGCAGCACTAGTGCCACGGTAGAACTCGTACCCGTAAATATACCGATATTTCATGTTTTCCATTGTGCGGTAATAAGCGACGCCAAGAAAAAAATAATGAGGAAGAATAAGCTAAATAAATTTATAAATTTGAGTTTGGAATTCGTAACCAAAGAGGAGGTATTTCAGATCAAAGTGGTAAGTACGACAAAACGCAAATTTCATATGTAAGGACCTACTAGGGAAGGTAGATAAAGTTTTGTTTGAGAAATCAGTTCAGGGTACAATAGGACTGATATACCTGAAGAAGGTAAAAGCCCTTAAAATATTTAAAAAAAAATGTAAGGACCTAGTATTACTCCTCAGGTTTTGATTGTAACTACCGTCACTTTTTTGATAATATAATTTATAGTCGAAAATTGACGTATATTTATTAAAACATTCTGTTTTCTAAACAATCACTTGTTGTAAGTACGATTGAGATGTAATAGTATATTTCTTATATTTTTATTATATATATATACATATATCCAGCGACGTCCAGTTTTGCAGTCATCTGTAGGAAAAGGCTAAGGTAGCCTCCATACTGTTCTCAACTATGGGCAGAAGCGTCACAGTACCACCTCTTTCCGTTAGACTGCAAAGTCATCAGCACCTTACCGCCCGATTCGACTCACTGCCTAATTTCGCTACCGTATAACCCGCACCAAACAAAAGTTCCAATCCAACCAACTGGATGAGTTGCGGTCTTTCTGAACCGATACGACATCATAATCTTCACTGAAAATAGCATATTCCATTTTAAAATGTCGGTAGCACACCTACAACGCCTCTGGTGTAGTGTTGTGGGTGATCATAGGCGGCGGTAGTTACTTACCATCAGGTGAACCGCATGCTCGTTTGCCCCTAATGTTATAATAAAAATGCCAAGTGGGTAAAGAAAGACTACGTGTGGAAAAAAAAAAACAGTACACTTTCCTATATTATCTACTTATGCTATTTTTCATTAGTCCATTATTTTTATAATAATTATAATTAGAAACTAATTCACTGTTGTACATCTAATTACAGATTTGTCTTAAAAACGCTTATGACAATTTGCCCTGGCACCGTGTTACTTGTTTTTATGGTGTCTTTATGGATAATTGCGAGCTGGACTTTAAGACAATGTGAAAGGTTAGTACCTCTATACGACATATTTCAGTGGTATCAGAATTGTTTTGCGTGACAACTATAGCATTAATAGCAAGCTGATGATCATCATCTCGAAATCAAATGGAGCATTCTAATTTCGGCAAGTTTTTATTTTCATTTGACGAGGTCATCAATATAAGCTGCAATAATTTCAGTGTTTACTTCCACCAGTATTATTGCTTCCATTGTTTTATTTTGTCTATCATTATTATTACGCTTAATGTTTTCGACCAGTGTTTCAAAAACCATTCACCGGTGTACTGCCTAAGTGGGCATGCTGTCGCTTTATTGTACTGTGGCATTGTAAATAATATTTGTTTTGCTTTTTTAATTCACTATGTTTAGTTTTACTTTTATTATTTAAATTTAAAATTATTCAATGAGGATTTTACGTAGTGACGCTAGGTCTATTCATCACAAAAAAATACAAGAGTTTGACTTTGAATATTTTCGCAACTGTGGCTTTTGAAAATATTATAAACACCATATTAAATGTCGATATATTAGTTTATGTTAGACGTAGATTATTAAAATAAATGTGATGTCTACAAAGAGGACGCTTGTTGTGATACTGTAGTTTTTGGTTATATATAATATTTGCACATAATTTGACAGCAATAAGCTGTAAATATAAATTAATATCGTAAAAATTTTATTTAAAAAAAGAATTATCTTAGCACAATCTAAAAAAAAATACTATGTGATATTGCATCTTGAAATATTGCAAGCCCAGTATACACTAAAATGTAATATATATATACACATATACACAATAATATGCGCACAAAATGGCTCAGATCACTTAGAATTAGCTTACTACTCTGCGTCTAAATAAGGACTATGCACCAAATGTGGCACATTTCTTATTTTCATGCATCAAAACAAGTTACCTCTTCCCGTTAAGCAAATGTCTCTATAATCTTTCTCACTTCTATGTGTTTCTTTCTTCTATATTTCTGCGTGTCTATCTTTTAAATGTTTATTATCTGTGTTATCATTATCCGATTCACATAAGGTAAATCAGAATTAAAATCACGCATGGCTAAAAGTATAATAATTGTTTGATATTCGACCCTGATAAATGTTTAGAATGCACGTTGTATTTAAAAATATTTTATTGTTATTACGGCATTTATCTGTGTAGAAGAACAATGTTTGTCATTCAATAGGCATGTCAAAATATTTGAGATTACAAACTATATGTTTAGGTTTGTATAATATTATAGCTACGTTAGTAGATATCATTAAATTAATTTAAAATTATTGGATGTTGTGAGATTACTATTCACAATATTCACATTAACGCAACTGTTTTTAAATTGCAAATGTATCAAATTTTTAATCTATTGTATTATGCCTAACTATAAAATATAATTATGTTAATTATGGTAGAACAATCGGTTATCTTGTGGTTCTTGTCGGGCATTTTGGCTCTCAGGTTCCATGATGAAGACCATGCCAATTTGCTAAACTCAATGTGGCTGACAGCTATAACCTTCCTCTGTGTTGGCTACGGCGATATAGTCCCCAACACATACTGCGGCCGTGGCATTACCCTCACCTGCGGTATGGTGGTATGTATGACACACAGTAGGACTTTATTATGGGTGGAATTCATAAAGTTCATACATTCCTTTATATAGTTTCGGTCGTCCCCCTAGGCATAGCAAGACTTCGACTCGTGTTCGCGTTCGTAAACTTACTTTCTTTAGACTTGCGTTGTCTAGAGGAGACACTGCAATAGGTCAGTAAAGGTGAGCCATTTTATGTGTTGTAATTTCACAACAATTGAAGCAATTTCACAATTTTATTTAAATCAAAGTCAAACTCTTCAATGTTGGACACATCCTCGACTTTTATGTTATATCTTTATTTTATTATTTTAATTTCCTTAATTTCGACAACAAATTCTTACAATAAACATATAGGTACGTCATTTAATAGGTACGATTTGTGAAGCGGCATTAATTTTTCGTAGGGTTCTCTTCGGAAAGGTAGACAGGTTTATTAAGTAAATAGTTGAAATTTATTGCGAATTCAGGTTTCACGACGAAGAACACGCTAACCTACTGAATGCAATGTGGCTTATTGCAATTACGTTTCTCTCCGTCGGTTTTGGTGACATTGTGCCAAACACATATTGCGGCAGAGGTATTGCTGTTAGCACCGGCATTATGGTAAGTTTCTTACAAACAACTTTATGTTTGTGTTGACTGACACATGTTCAATAGATTTTTCATCATTTTTAAGGTAAAAACATACCAGTACTTTTGTAATGGAATGTTTTTGCGTATTTTTATATTAAATTAAATACAATAAAAAGTCAGTCAACACCCATTTCAATGTAACAGACAATTTACACACGACATTATAATGCTTTACACATATCTAAATATCTTGCGCTAAGCTCACTGAGTTTTGGTGTATTGAATGTTATAAATTATTAGTATGTATACATTAATGTGAAAATACTCTATCCAAGCAAATTAATCGATGTTCAAATATCTGTCAATGCAATAAGTGTTTTCTATGTACACATGTATCTAACAGTTCCACAACTTTGTAACTAACACTCAATGTACACACTAAATCTTCGATGTAGGACAATCAAAAATCTATTTATCGTTATCTAGTTATCCGTGTAGTAATTGCAGCCAATAATTTCTTTGGATAATTTCGATTACAGTTCGGTCTCCGATGATTTTTTATGTAAAGTTACGTCCATTTCCCTGTTAAAACCAGCTATTAGAAATTATATATTTTGTAGTATGGAATGCTTCATTTCTCCTTACTATTTCTAGTTCTTTCTTCACTTGAATATTTCACTGAATTGCACAATAAGTTTGTTTTTTTTTTAAAATGGCTCACTTTTCCTATAATTATTTTAATACAAAAGTGTACAATAAATTTATGCACCTAAATAGTACTTGTGTTAATGTTGAAATATATAAGTAAATAAAGTTATAGATGTTCTTAATGTTAAATGGAAGTAAACGTATAAATCAATTTCTTTGCACATATTAGAAATGAAAATGCACCGAGTGGAAATAAAGTGTCACAAATTATAATAAGAAACTGGGTGAATAATTATAAAATTTGCTATTGTAAAATTGTGCACTGTGGTTGTTTACATAACTATATACGCTACTGGTAATTTAAATAAAAGTGATTTTCATATTTTTTCATTTTGTTGTATAGACTAGAAGTTTGCATTTTTGACACGAAGTAACTATGAGAAATAAATTCAAATTAAATTAAATATAAAATTAAAAAGAGAATCTATTATTTAATAAAAAATTCGAAGGCAACGGAAACCGTAATCAATTAAATATTTATATAATAAATGTGGCAATTATTAAAGTATGCTTTGTATTCAATATGAATAAGTTTATGCTATTAGTTTCAGTTGCCTTCGTCTTAAATTAAAATTAAAGTGATACAATAAATAATATAAAAAGCACATAGCCGACGAAATAGTTTCTTTTCATTTTTAGCCTTCAATAAAGCCTTTTAATTGGAATGAATATTCTTGAATGCTTTTACACGTTCGCTTGCGTTTTACATTAAGATATTCACTTAACAGGGAGCTGGATGCACAGCGTTATTAGTCGCGGTTGTTTCAAGAAAATTAGAATTAACTAGAGCCGAGAAGCACGTTCATAACTTCATGATGGATACACAACTTACTAAAAGAGTAAGTATTACGGCGACATTGGTTCATCACAATTATTGTTAATCTAATTAACAGGGGGCGGGATGTACAGCATTATTAGTGACGGTTGCTTCGAGAAAATTAGAATTGACTAGAGCGGAGAAACATGTGCATAACTTCATGATGGAAACACAACTCACAAAAAAGGTAAGGTGCCTGTTACAGGAGTGACAGGTCGTGGTCAAGGTAAAGTGCAATAGCCAAAAACTCTGATATAAACATATTTTTTATAGTAAGTGATAATAAAATTAATTTGCTTTTATGTTGTCAAATGCTACTTACTAACACGGTATCAACTTTGTCCGCAATAACACCGTGACGTCTTATTAATTCTGTATAAATAGAAGCTAATTTATAAACTATTTAAACATGTAGAAATGCATTAAATAATCACTAGTGATAAATAAATAATTTTCATTAAAATATAGGCTATAATGTAACTAAGTACCTATTAACTGTACCACACTTTGTTACTATATTTGTTAGTTCATATTTCTAGCTTTTTAACATGAGAATAAGTAGGTATCATACAATAATAATAAAACTATTTCAGCTGAAAAATGCCGCGGCTAATGTACTACGAGAAACGTGGTTAATATATAAACATACAAGATTAGTGAAAAGGGTTCACCCTGGACGTGTTAGAACACATCAAAGAAAATTCTTGTTAGCTATTTATGCGTAAGTAATAATTACAAGGCATTATTTACAATTCTATACCGATTACGAACCAAAAGATCGATGCGGTAACGACCTACAAATGTTATCTTGAATACCAAATTCGAAAATTTAAAACCTTTTGATCAGTAATGGGAAGGATTATAATGTAGATGTTTATTAGTTCTCAATATTCCATTACCAACAGATTTTTTCCAGTGCAAGTTGGTATAGAGAATTAAGTTGACGGGTGACCTAATGAACGGAACGATGAAAGGAATGAAACGAATGAACGAATGAAAGGAACGGATGAAACGGGTGACCAGAGGGAGACTTTGTACAAAAGTCGATTTCTTGGGTACCTCTGTCCCATTCGTGTTTCAACCGTGAAGCTGTTGTGTTTGCATGGCTGTGTTTCGGTTTGAAGGGTGGGATATGGCGTGAATTTACTAGGTACAGAGGAATAACACCTGAGTCCTCAGGAATGGCAACGTATGGGGGGTATCATGGGCGAAACAGTATGTGTGTGTACTGCTATGTCCATGGTACTGCTCATGTCTATAGGCGACGGTTACCACTTTCCAGGTGGGCCGTCAGCTTGTTTGCCATTCTAAGTTGTATAAAAAAAAATGAAAAGCATGCAATCAGAGATCATTTTAAAAATTACGATTTATATTCTATGACATTAAGTATACAAACATTATCATTTTCAGTCGCATCATCATATACAATTTTAATAGAGAACTTCTAGTAGACTATAATTACTGTTAACAGGAGTTATATAGCTCGACACTTGTTATAGCAACACTTGATTATCACCGATTTACACTGTTCCAGATTACGAAAAGTGAAAATGGATCAACGGAAATTAATGGATAATGCCAATACAATCACAGATATGGCAAAGGTATGTTGATTTTATTAAATCATAATTTTCTGCTAAAGCTACACTAATATCGACACATCCATCTAGATTTTTAGCATGCACATTAGGAATGCAACCTATAGTTTTAGCAAGTTAGTGTATGACACTAGCTAGAAAATAGCTCCCTGTGCCTTAGATGCAACAATTGAAATAGGAATTCTTGTGCCGTTACAGTGTAAATAAGTAGATTTTTTCACTAAAAATAGCGAATTTATTGGTGACAAATATTTAATATTGATAGTAATTAGTATTGGTAATAATTAGTATCTCGCTATGTTTATTTTAAAACAAATAAATCGTGCCGATAAACGATAAAATATTTTATAGACATTACACATATCTATATTTTTATTTAGATTGTGAGATTATCTGTCAGTAAGTAAATTTTGCTCCTCAACACACATAATAGAAAAGAGCATTTAAACAAACCTTCTATTTTGATAAGATTAATATAAAACTAATATGGAAATATACTTTATCGAATAAGGAAAGAATTACTAAAATGTATTTATTATTAGCGAATATATCGCGTGGAAAACAATACAAGCGAATTGGATAGCTCCTTCAATGTGAATATCGCTAAAAATAGAAGAATGATATTAATATGTCATTCAAAAGCATGTTAGTAATAGAATTAGTACGTTGTAATCTTAGATTGCAATAAGTAGTACTAATTTTTTATATTATTTTACTGAATTTTATTTCAAAATTTCATAACCATTCGCTTAGCGCATGTTCTAAAAAAGTTTTTTCAAAATTTGTCAAAATTTATGTGCATGCTGCAAATGAAACTTTAATTATATAGATTTTAGACTTAGATAAGATAAGAATCATATATTAGTCAAAATACAATACATTAAATAACATACAGTATTCATACATACAAGTATAACATATTAGTCAGGCATTCACACTGAACATATACAGATTTTTCAGAAATATTAAATTAGAATCAACAGTCAACAAAGAACAACAAAGCGATTGATATCAGGACCCCTTTTTATTTCAGACGCAGAATACGGTGTACGAGATCGTTTCAGATATGAGCACAAGACAAGATACTATAGAGGAGAGGTTGACTAGTTTAGAAGAAAAACTCACTTCTTTGCAGGTAAAATATTAAAATTGAATATATATATATATATATATATATATATATATATATATATATATATATATATATATATATATATATATATATATATTCATATCAATCATTCTTGTTCATTAGTGAAACAAATATCAAGGTATTGATATTAATATAATTTAATGAAATCACTACAAATCTGAATGAAGATTATTTCCTTATTCCAGGAACAAGTAAACACATTACCAGATGTAGTAGCTCGATGTCTTCAGCAATGTTGGGAACGCGCTGAACAAAGAAGAAACTTTCTACATCCTGACACCGCTGCTGTACCTACACCGCCTTCATCTTCAATAGCTCCATATTCCAGGTATTGAAAACATATAAACATTATTTTTCTTTAAATAAAATTAGAGTATAGTATCACGAATATTAACTGTTTCAAATAATATGATTACATTAATAATTTATGTTTAACATGACTGTTTTACTGGTTATTTCATAAATTTTTTTTATTCCTATACCATTAGTGCTCGTATGTGTGCGACTGCCAACACACAAGGACTAACCACTATTATTATTACCAGAACTTCTCCTATCAACCTCCGACTATCATTTCGTTCACGCACGTTTTGCGACACATCTTTTACCTCTATACAAAACATTTAAAGATATCGACTTCAAATAAATAAATTGCTGCTTACGGCCTAGTGGTAACTGTTCGGCGCCCAAGCTGCGAATCGAACGAAATCAAGTGTTGGCAGTTTCACACATACTAATTGTAGCAGATTGAAACAAAATAATTCTTAACAAATAACCAGTGATATGAATTTTCGTAAAAGTTACATCTAGTTCAGTAAAATATAACTATTTTATTTTTTCAATAAATCATAACAAGGTACGTAATGAATCCGTTCTTATAAACAATATTTTGTATATTTTAACCAATAATTTTTAAATTATTTACATTTATTATAATATTCCCTTTATTGATTACTTTATCTCCAATTTAAAACGTATACGACACTTTATTTAATATTTATAAAAGAACAAATTTAAATGAAGCAATTTATTTATTTTTTATTTCATGCTCTGTGTTATAGCTGTATGCAGAATTAACTTTAATAATTAATTTAACATTTATTAGTTTTCGAAATTGTCATGTCGGTTGCTTTACGCGAATTATGTATATTTATTAATTTCAGAACAATAGCATCGTCATCACATCCTTGGCCACCGAGTCCAATACTTCAACCAGCTGCGCGGACACATTCAGCTCCCGAAAGTACAACCGCTCACACACCATCACCTGCACAACCACAGCCATCAAGCCCAGCTCCTCACGCGTCTCGGCCTCCTCTACCTAGCTGAGTACCGCCTTCCAACTCCGAACTCCTGTGCTGAACTCGACGAAACTCGGCGCCCGTCCTCTGACCCCCCCTTTATCACGACTACGCCCCAATTAGGCTGCCGGTAAAATTGTTTCACTACGAAGCAGATGTAAACCTCTCGAATGATTAATACTAAGTTACAATCGAATTTACTAATGATTAGCTGATCGATATTAGAACCGCTCTGAATGATTCAGTGATCGATAGAACCAAACATTAATATTATATTCACCTATTAATTTTCTTTCATTTATTTAATATCGAGCGGTTCTGGTATCTTTATCAAACGATGCCAACAATTTTTAGTTACGGAGTGAATGAGGAAAGTGAAATGATTTTTCCGATATGCCGAAGGACCACGCCGCGGAGCGAGACAAGGTCAGCCGTAGTTTTCTTCGCTGTTCCCCAGTTTCGGATGTGCCAGACTGTTCTCTAGTGATATTGTTAGATAGTGAATGAAATGCGGCGGAACGGACTTGCTGTTGTGATTATACAAAATGCTTTATTGATAGACGCTATAGGTAATACGTTAGATCATATTTTGAATACATTATCAACATTAGTGTAGTTAGATGAGCATTACACGTCTGATCACGTTTTTTCTGAAGTTCAAGGAACCAATACACTGTTTTATAACTTCGTGTGTTTTTACTAAGGTTTATTGAGAATAAATACATTTGCCAGTTATTCTGTTACTTTAAATTTATAAAAGAAGCAAGATGTTCCTTCTTTCATAGATTTTGGGATGTTACAGAAATAGGACATAGTTCATATAACTATGTAGATACTAGAACTTTGACATAGTTTTTTCTTAGAAAAATATTTGTTGGCCAGTTACAGATCACAAGTCATAGACTAGTAATGCATTTATTACAATAAAAAAATCGAGTATTATATTATGAAACTATCTAAAAAAATATTAGATGTTGTTACTGATTTTGGTTCATTGTTTAAACGTTTACACACAAAGTAATAAAATAATTTTACTTTAACTATACCTAATATTACTAAAAAGATTATGTTTTAGAATTTTAAAACTATTGAGCTGTTATTGGTTGATAAGAATCTGAATCTGAATAGAATAAAAGTAAAATATTGAAGCAGCATTGATAACTATTAATTTATTGTTTACCAGATAACTTTACAGATCAAACTTTTGGTGAAAGTTTATGCATTTAGGATTTGATTTTATGACACGCATTGTATGAATCTGTATACACTTTGTTTAGTATATAGGTAATAATTAAATTGTTACTACCTGCCTATTGACATGTAGATGTAAACATTTTATAAGACTAGATTAAGTAAAGCTTTGTATAAGACATAAGATTGATGGCTGTCTAAATAGTGCCTAAAACACTACGAAAAATTTCGATAATTCAGTTTTATTATCCTAATAACTTATGAAAATGTAAATAGGTAAACTAAAATTTGAGAGCATAATATTTAGTAAATATCTGAATTTTGTAGTTGTACGAGAACGCATGATGGGATCAATTTATTTGTATAATTTTATTTTATGGTAGTATCTCTTATTTATTTCCTCCTCTTATCTAAGTTATTCTTCTCTAGTTATTATAAATTGGTGAAGTATAAATGAGTTTTAAATAATATGTTCATCTTTTATACTCGGTTTAGTATTGCACACGAGTCACCTTCTTAAATGAAATAAACAGGATAGCATACGAGTATTTCATCAATACAAAGACACGTATATGGTAATTAAATTATTATATTTTTCTTAATAGGTATGTTATTACTACATTTTATAATATTGGTTTTTAACGTTCACATAGTTGATTCATTATTATTGAAAATAAAAGTTGTAATTTCACATAAAATATTTTAGTGGATAGCGACAACGAGTATCCTTTAACGTTAGAAAAATATGCATTCATTGAAATAGAGATAATAAATTTAAAATTTTATGAGATTAAGTTAGTATTTCACTATATTTGTGATTATATTATATTTCTTATTTATACCTATAACTGATTTCAAAAATAGAGGACTGTATATTCCGGGAATACCAATATATATTTTAATACGTTTGCTTCGATATCTGCAAGATTTTTGAGCCACATTACATTAAAACATCCATATATTTAAACTGGTTGCAATAGTATCAATTGATACCTTAATTTTTATATATAACAGAATTAAAATATTAGTTATTGCTGTTGCTAACATATCTGTTACTGAGCAATCTAATCTAATTAGCAATCTAATTACTGAGAAAATTATTGGATAATAATAAAATGAAACTTAAACTACTTGTATTGGTATTGAATAAACCCCCTGAAAGTACATTTACATATATCAGTAAAACCATTAGTAGTAAAATATATGTTGTATGGAATTGAAATCAGCTTAATTTGCATTACGAAACTGGTTGAATGCATTTCTTTAAGGTACGTTTAATATCTATATTTTATATAATTATTAAATGTACCTTAAAGTGAAAGTTTTTGAGATAATTTTTTCATAAAAATAATGAAATAAGCTTTTGCTACCAATTTCGAAATGTAAATTAGGCTTTATGTAATCATATTTCATTTCTTTTTCTACTAGCAATATTGCTATTTGAAATGTACTTTCCCTAAAGGGCCTGATATAGATTTAAAATTAATAAAAACACAAGTAACAAATTTTTTGTTAGGTAGCTGAATATTCGGCGCATACATTATTTAAATGCTAACAAAAAATTGCAATGAGCAATTCTTTTTTTTATAAATGTTACTTCTTTTTCTAAAAATGATTGTGAATTTAAAAAAAAATCTAGGATTATTTTTAAATAAAATGGAAAATTATTAGTAACTATTTCGATTTTTTTATTTTTATTTAATTTCGTATATGATTTATCAGAATTCACCCTACAAAGGGATATTTTATTTATAGATCTATAGTTATTATTTATCTAGAATAAAAAAAAAACATAGATAAGATATAAAGTATTTACTCCTATATTTTAAATCGTTCGTATTCAAAACACCAACTAGCATATTATTAGACATACGATCGATAGATTAACGTTTATTCTTCAATATATCTATGAAAGAAAGTACCTTACCTTATCCCTTTTAAACTTTCCTACTATTAATATTTGATAACAGTGTTTTAAACTTTTTACTCCCTAGTATTTTTAACTACCTCGAATTTTTACACGTCATAGGTACACGTCTATCAACAATATGGACCAACACAGACCTGGGACTTTATAAACTTATGGCTGTACATATGTACAGTAACTCTATGTGTACTATTTAAACAAAAACAAACTTCAAGAATAGTCCCTCGTCTATAAAGGTCCTAGTAATTTAGTAATAACTGCCACTTTCAATATTATTTCGAAAAATATAAATATTAATACATAAAGTATTTTGAAAATATACTACCTGCAAGCCTCTGAAGCAAAGACTCGGAACAGAACTTAAAAAAAAACGATCTATCGTAATTAATTCACAATATGAAGAAGTTACGATTAATTATTATGTTTAGTATAAATACGTAGTACATAATTTTCACTTGCACAATTTAATGCTTGTTTGAAAACTGCCTATCATTTAGATAGGCAGTTTTCATACATATAAATGCATTTACGAACCCTCGAGATAATTCATTTAACTTCTTATTATTTTTTAAAGAAGTTTTATGGTTTTAGATGATCTAATTTTATACATATATAGTTCAGTATTACGGATTAATCCATCTCCATCACTTCGGAGGTTTGTGGCGGTTGCCTTTAAATATTTAAACTTCATTTACGTTACAAAGCTGGTTGCATGAAATTAGTATTGTATTTTTAATTTTATAACAGTTTTACATGTTAGACATTAAATACAATCTCCAAACAACAATTATATACAATAAGCCCAATACCCATAACATCAACAACTAATAGATACTACTAGTTGCAATTCCGGTATTCCGGTACCTTCAGTTAATATATTTATTGAAGAAAAATAAATAAAAATTGTTGCACATCAAAAATTATCGTTGTAGTGACATCCTAAACGCACAATGAGTTTCTATATGCATAGTGGTATGTCTTATCAAAATAAATAATAATGACTTATATTAGCCTAATTAAACGTCCCCAACATGATGAGATTTAAGATGATCTAGTCATTAATTATAATCGCTTTATAGTTTATTATTACATAAATAATATTATGCTTATTTGCAAAAGTATTTTATCCTAACAAATATTGTATATCATCAACTCAAACTAGTTCACATCGTTTACAATAATGTATAACATTTACGATGAAAAATGTCTATCTACGTCTTTTATAATACTTTTGCGAATATAATAATCTCGTATTTTTAGCAAAATTTCAAATTGATCTATTTATTTGTAATAAGAATTGACCAAATGTTGTTTAAGATTGATAAAATTGTAGAATTTGTAAATAAGTTAGTCGCGAATCACTAAGACATTGTGTACTTATAAAATAATGTAAATAACAGTTGTATTTGTGAATTTTAATGTAAATAATTAATTTAATGATATACGGTTCCAGTAAATTATTTTTAAATAATTATGTTCAATTGTATAATGAAATTTTAAGTTGTATGCCAACGGAATGTTCTATGCGGTGCGTAACAGAAGAGATGAAACTTTTGTGATCATTGTTAATGAAATGAAAGTGTAATTTGGATTATATGAGCTGTAGTATTTTTTAATGAGTTTTTTATTTCTTACCGACTCAAAACTTTCAAATTGATAACACTAACTGCGTATTTAAAATTTCATCTTCGGAATTAAAATGTAATCATTATTACAATTACAATACTAATTGATACAATTAAATATTAATTATTCATTATTTACTGGTAACTATAGATTTCCTTCACATTTTGCCACAATATAGATACGATTCTGCATGACTTGATCCACGAGTGTGTTGTCGACCTTGAAGAGATGTGAATACATTCTTTTTGAAGAATGCAATATTTTAGTCTCTAAGAAAAATCTCGGCAGGTAACTTATTCCACAGACTGAGCGTTTGCGAAACAAAACTCCTTTAAAACCGCACTGTACGCGACCATTTATGTTTTAGCATGTAAGAATGAATTCCTGTCGACAGTAAACCGTGCAGTGATAAAAGGCTATAAGCATCATTTTGAACAATTCGTTATACAAACAGTAGAACATACAAAGGAAGGTATGAATTTGCCCTAGACTTAAAAACTTGATACTGTCTATAAGTTTGAAATCATAAACAATTTTCATAGTCAATTTTGAACAAAGTCAAAAGGATCAAGCTCGAATCCAGATGCTTCAACCCATAGATGAGAGCAATACTTCACGAGGGGCTGAATTTGTGACTTATATGAGTAGTCTTTGTCTCGGAGCGAAATACCTTTTTATTTTATTAAGCATTTTGGATGCCAGCTTGTCCTATTTTCAAGATTACATCGGTAGTCGACAGTGCTAAAGATGTCGACATCAAGAATTTCAATACTTTGTACTTACATAGATAGCGCATATTTTATATTTATATATTCTGTGACGTTTATAGTACTGTACATATCAAACAGCGATGATTACCGCTTCCTATTAGGCAGACTGTAAGCTTGTTTGTCATTCAAGTTATATGGAAAAGAATCAGAACTCATCTAAATATGATACATTTCGATATATAATGAATTGTATAAATAATTTAAATTCTAAAGAAAGAAGTGAGAAGAAACTAAAAGGGACATATGATAAAAGAGCACATTCAAACAAATAATACCCCCATTTCTACAATATCATTTGTTAGATATGAGACTTATAGAATATATGTTAAATAGAGCTATGAGAAAGAAAAAAATCTATGTTTCCTAAAAAATACCTTTTTGTTAAGGTTTCCATTTTAAATATGCTTATGGTAATCATCAATTATTATATAAATATATTTTTCTCAAACATGCTTGGAAATGTGAGCATTATTTTGACAATCATCTTCGAGATAAATCAAAATTGCCGTACTGGCCAGATACATGCAGGCAGCGGCCGGTAAAAGTTGTATGAAAATCCGTATCTGTCGTGTTTTGCGGCCAGATAAATTACTATGTAAACTCATATCTGCTCTGTAATTTAAAAATGGAATGATCTTTTACTTCGAAACATGGCTACCAAGGAGGTAACTAATAAAAGGTTTTATTTAAATTTCGAACTGGCTTGCAAATAGAAAGCTGTTTATTGAAAAAAAAGAAACAAAGTAACATTATGGCGCGTGAAAAATTATTATTGCTCGTTATTCGTCATTGAACTTAAAAAGTAAAATTGTGTTTTTGATTCCCATGCATTGTTTGAGAAAAGTACTATACAAACCTTGGCGACAACTAGGCATTGATGGACTCACGTATGCCTTGGCTACGCCTCGGCCCACATTTGCACGTTCGTCCATCAATGCCTCACTTGCTACCTGCTGCAGTAATGTACTAATGCAGTAATCAGTGAACGCTATGTGATGTCGGCATAGAATAGACCACTCTTTCCTTTCCCGTGGCTGACGTAGGAGGTGATTAAGGAAACTTAATTGTCGAGGGATGGACAACAGCTTCTCTTTTAAAACATCACCAAAGACTAACTGTGGTTGCTAAATTGCCTGCCAAGCGTGGCAATTACTGATAAAACTTCTTATAGAGAAGGCCTATGTTCAGTAGTGGACAGTTAACAGCTGCAAAAAGAACAAATAACCTACAAACAACCTCTGTATAATTCCTAGTTTTCCATATAAATCTTATTTACGAATGGTACTAATTAATACTGTAGCGATATCAGCAGCATTGCTAGATTGGGTATTTTTTTCCCAATTTCTGTTGAAAAGTGTACTGTGAGATATTTTTGGAGAAAAATGAAATGGGGTTGAAAAAATGTGAGTAAATTTTTAGACAAAATTTAAAATCGTCTATCATACCCATTGTTATGATCATCCAAAAAATTAATAATAATTAAAAAAATTAGAGAATAATTTTTGTAGCTTCCAATTTTGACTAGACAATGATGTGTCCAAATATAAATTAGATATATACGAGTAGTACATAGTATTTACAACAAAAATAAAAATTTAGATAAAAATTCACACACTTAGTTCAAAAGTATGTTTTATTTTAACCATGAGTAAAGGTAGGTTGTTTTTAGAAATAAATCTGTGTCGACGAAGAAGTATTAAGTGTGGGAGGAATTGTTCCCTCTTTATAGGGAAAACGACATTCTGTGAGTTATCTTTTGTCTTCGTTTCCTTTAATTTAATTGTACTCTTCTTATAATTAAACTCCTTATAAGGCGGAACCATGATCGCGTACAAAACGGTAATTATATAGATGTTTGAGTTGACATAGTCAACGTTAAGCTTTATAGCTTTGTAATTACCATTTAATGATAATTGAAATCACAAGAAATTCTTATTTAGCGTTAGTTCGACTAAAAGTTAAATCATTTTATTTTTAATTAACTTCAAAACTGAGGTAGTGAATATTAATCGTTAGTATATATATATATATATATATATATATATATATATATATATATTTGTACGAGTATAATACGTTGATTTGCATCGACTATTTGGAACAGACTTTAATAATTTTATATTTTTTATGCAACCTAAAAGAAGAAAGCCTATAGACATGAACAGCAGTATCATGGACATAACAAAGAATACTGTTAATTTAAACTTTCGCGATGTTTACACATATTTTATGTACACAATCGGGACTTAACACGATGAAAATACCTTTGCAGGTAAATGCTTGCTTCTTTAATTCACGATTGTATATTTAAAATAATATATACTGCGTCACCAATTATACTCTTCATGCGTTGTCATTCCTGAGGACTAAGGTGTTATGCTTCTGTACCCTAAAATTTCATTGCTATATCCAACCCTTCAAACCGAAACACAGCTACACCAAAGCACAACTGCTTCACGGTAAAAACGCAAATAGTTAGAGGTACCCAAACAGACAACATTAGTACAAAGTGTCCCTCTGGTATTTACTCTCAGTTTGATCTCATATTGATTTTGTGATGACTGGACATACTATTTGTCTTTACGGAGCAAAACTCTGCATATAACAAAGCAAAAACTACAGATTTTTTTATTTAATACAAAAATCATTCAAAATATACTTGCAACATGCTAAGTCATGCTAAGTAACAGCCAATAACGGATTTTAATTACTCAAACGAAAATTACAAGTCTAAGCAAGTAAGAGAAATTAGAATGGGTGTATGTTAAATAAATTATAGCAATGAGAGTGTCCATGAAATCGGTTAATTTATATATAAATTAAATAAAATCTATGTTGCTATAATTCAGATATCCATAGCAACATTTCAATAATACAATTTTATTGTAAATAATTGTAAAAAGGTATAGATGTGTGAATGGGTAGAGTTATAGTAGCTGATAAATGCACGATTCCAAATTCTAAATTAAAATATTAAATGTGACTGTTAAATGCTTGTAGTAACGTAGATACATCTTATAGATCGATATACAATATCAATTTTGTGATTATTGAAGTCTATTTTTCGGAAAAAAAAATATGTGTATAAAAATAACTCAAGGAAAAGTCACAAATAGCCGTAATAAATAACTTACTGTTATTTTATAATAAAACCTTGATCTTTAACGTAGTTATTTATTAAATATATCAAAGAAAACAACACCCACTTTCAAACAATAAAAAGATTTCAACTGAAAACATTAAGCAAACAATCAGTGAATTCACTATAAACTGTACTCGCAATGTTTTTTACGCCTTTAGCTTCAATAATTTCTCAAGAGAATCTGTTACGTACGTACATTTTTATATAGTAAAAAGTAACCTTAATGTTTATTCGGCTACTATATTTCCAATACATATATAAATGTATCTATGTGTGTGTATTTATATATCATGGGCAGTGGTCTGTAGAATTGTTCGGTTTGACATTCCGACTATCTTCTTCCGCGTACAACCACTTTGGAATCAACTCCCAGCAGTAGTATTTATCAAATCACAATCTTAAAAAAAAAGAGCATATTACTTTTTAAAAGGCCAATAGCACACCTGCAATTTTGCCGATATCTTTGATGCTCATGGGCGGTATCACCTTAATATGAGGTGAGTCGCAAGCCCATTTGCCCCCTGTATTATTAAAAAAAACTAATTAAAAAAATAGTCAATTTTTTCGATAAATTGATGTTTTTATAATGTATCAGTAATTAATGCACAATGTAGAGACACAACTTCGAAACAAATTTATTATCTGTAAACATTTTTTTAGATTATAATGTAAATGTTCAATGTAAATGTACAAAATTTCCATTCAAAAAGGCATAAAAGTTATGTGGTGCCGAATATAAAATTATTCGTATATCATCTGTCCTGCTTATAAAGACATTCGATTTGCCAGTTCGATTGACATAAATTTCAGAATAAAAGAATTCTGAAAGCGTGAAGATGCCTTATTGACATTCTTGGAAATTTCAATTTTTATTGAATAACAAAATAATATTAAGTGTTTGCATAAAGAAATATATTTCATATTCATGTGTCCTAGGCATATTTTCTGTAGTCCCACGATACTCATTAAACTGAAGAGCATATAAGTCAATCATACTACTATCGCTCTTATAATAATGTATAGAGTATATTAGCGAAATTTCACCGTGTTGGTTCCGGCGTATAATAGGCCATCCTTT